TAACGAAATTTGTCAGGGGGTAACCTGTAAATACACCCTTTCGATGATTACAAAACACATACTTTTTGCTCTTGGAGACCCAGATCATGATTCATGAGTGCAAGGCTCCCAGGCCAAATGACGTAATTACTGAAAGGGTGTATTATTAAATTTTTGGATAAAATTCATCCGAAGGGTTGTCTAAATAGGAAGTAATTCTGAGTAGCATGGTATTGGAGATGAGGTTTTCCGAGGGATTGCCTCAATTTTAACAAAATTCTTCAGGGTAACTTGTAAATACACCCTTTCGATTATTACGTCACACATACTTTTTGCTCTTGGAGCCCCAGATCATGATTCATGAGTGCAAGGCACCCAGGCGAAATGATGTAATCATTGAAAGGATGTATTATCAAATTTTTTGATAAAAATTTATCCGAAGGGTTGTTTAAAATAGGAAATAATTCTGAACAGCATGCTAATGGGGATGAGGTTTTCTGAGGAATTGCCTAAATTGTAACCAAATTCTTCAGGGTAACCTGTAAATACACCCTTTCGATTATTACGTCACACATACTTTTTGCTCTTGGAGTCCCAGCTCACAATTCATGAGTGCAAGGCTCCCAGGTCAAATGATGCATTTATTGAAAAGATGTATTATCAAATTTTTTGATAAAAATTTATCCAAAGGGTTGTCTAAAATAGGAAATAATTTTGAACAGCATGCTATTGGGGATGAGGTTTTCTGAGGGATTGCCTGAATTTTAACCAAATTCTTAAGGGTAACCTGTAAATACACCCTTTCGATATTTACGTCACACATACTTTTTGCTCTTGGAGCCGTGGGTCTCGATTTATGAGTGCAAGGCTCCCAGGCCAAATGACGTAATCATTGAAAGGGTGTATTAAAATTTTGGATAAAAATTTATCCGAAGGGTTGTCTAATATAGGAAATAATTCTAAACAGCATGATATCGAGATGAGGTTTTCTGAGGGATCCCTGAATTCTTAGGGTTTTTGCACCAGGACAACAAATTTATGGTGATTTGTGCGGCTGACAGGGAGACGGAGTGATGGGGTTGGGCATTGGGTTTATAATTATTGTAGAATATGTATAATTATTGTTTATAATTATTGCATGTTTTTGCAGGAATATACCCGGGAATGCAAGAATGATTTGGCTGTTCAGATATCAAACTACAATCATCAAATAATGCAATGTCAGCATTTTATTGTTCTCAATGTGAAAAATATTAATAGAAATAAAATATACACAGGCTAGTATCCTGATAGATAGAACATTGTATTATTATAAGGTGTCGCATACACTAGTACTGATGCTACTTTGAGTGTGTTCACACCGGGCAAGCAGAAGAGTTTGCTTGACAGCGGTGGGAATAGAACCCGCGACCTTTGGTTTGCTAGTCCAATGCTCTACCAACTGGGCCATACATGCAAGGGGTCAAGTCGGTAAGAAAACCAAAAGTCGTGGGTTCGATTCCCACTGCGATTAAGCAAGAGGAGCATCATAAACAAACAGTGATCTACATATTTATCTATATCCCACTAACAATGAATAAAATCATTCAAAAAAGAAAGTGTGTTTATGTCTGTAATAAGGGTCTAGTTTTTAGAAATGAATAGATTCAAACATATTCCCAGCCATATTGTTGTCATGATATTCAGTGTCTTAGCACTGTTGCAACATGTGACATGATTATGGCTGTCAGCAGGTGGTATGCTATAAATCATTTCTGGCAAATATTTTTGTCATGAGAAATGAAATCAATATTGCAGGTGAGAAAAAGAAACATAAATTTCCTAGTTCATTCAATATTGTAGAATGCTGTTTTATAGTGAAATAAATCAAGATATTCCTTGAAAATGTGTCTTCCTTGGATTACACTCTTTTAATATTTATGTCACAACTCCTTCCTTGTCCAGGAAACCTTTTGTTCATGAATTTATTTTTTTATGAGAGTGTGGCTTCTAGACCAAAGGGGTATTTGTAATTTAATTACCTAAAGGGTGTATTGAGATGGGTGAAAGTAAAAATATACTGTAGTTATATGTAGATGGTGGTGATCATATCTTGGCAATATTGCTTAAAAGGACAATGCTCTGAAATGCAACAATATTTTACTTGCTGTATTTACATTTTACTGATTTTAGAGCATGCTGTATAAAAGTAAGAGAAATCTTACTGTTTATAAAGAACTATTTTTGTTTTTCCCAAGGAAGCAAAGAGGCTCGCAATACTCAGGAGTGGTTCTCATCAATCTCAGATCCCAGCATGGAAAATAGCTCTAAGGGAATATCTTATATCTCGATATATTTCACCATGATATGGATGTCTAATACTCCGCTGAGTCGACGACTTATTGCTGACAGCCATAATCTCGATTCATGCCGAAACAATGCAGGGCATTGCGGAGCTAGCCAAAATTTCCGCAGCATGCCATTTTATAGCCATTTTATTAATATGCCAACTGAGAGATCGGCAGAACGACTTTCAGTCGGAGTCCAGCTCCGATTCTACGGCCACTGTGCACAAGGCATCCCTTATCTTCATCGCCCCCTCGCTTTTCCCATCATTTCCAGCATTATGGCAAACAACTTCTTGTAAAACTACGTAAATAGTCCTAAATTTTCCACTCTGTTCGCCCGCCATTTTGAAAGTTTCGCTCTGTATACTTCATGTAACTTGCATGTTTTGAATACTTTTCCAACGAAAACCGCTGCCCACCGCGTATCGCATATTGGCGCTTTTGGATGCATTTGTGACAGGCGTGTGCAGGTAAGTATGCTGGTAACGTGGTTATATCTAGTGGTGGAATGTCTGCGTTAACCGAGATGTAAAACTTGTTCAAGTTATTGGCCAGTTCTAAATCTGATAATAATTCACCTTCCTTTTCAAAGGTAAGTTTAGTACACTTCTGAGATCGGCCAGACAACTTATTTACGACTTGCCACCACTTTCGGCAATCGTCTTTCTTAAGATGTTGTACTTTAGTTTTGTAATATTCTTTCTTTCTTATGGCTATTTCGGTCTGGACCTTATATTTCAATGTTCTCCACTGCAGAACATCTCCACCATGGAAAGCTCTTTGACGGTCATTAATGAGTTTTTTGATAGACACAGACATCCATGGTTTATCGGAATGGCAAAACCTAACAGATTTCAGGGGAATAAGACTGTCAAATGCTGTAGATACTTGGGATGAGAAGGAATTAGCTAGGTCATCTACGGAAGGGCTTGGACCCAGATTACTGAACCATTGATGCGTGCTGGCCCATCGGCCGAAAGAATTCAAGGCGGATAGCGGATAGCGGCGTATAAGACGCTTAATCGGTTTAGGTTTGGTAATAGCATCAACTTTATTAGGAACCCATCGTACTATATTATGGTCAGCAGACCCAAGCGGAGCAAGAATATACGGCTTGTCATAAAAATCTTGTAAATCGGTGACGATGAGATCAAGGGTAGAAGACCCCCTTGTAGGAGCAGAAACGACTTGCTTCAAACTAAGACTACGGGTTAGGTTCGAAACATCAAAATTATTAAAATCACCAAGGAATACGATTCTACAATTAGGATAACAATCCCTAATGGAATCCGTTGTGTTCATCAGATATTCATCAAGATCACGTTGTTCTTCAGCAGTTCTGCCAGGGGGGTTATACACAACGCAAACTGCAATAGCCGAGAGAGGTCTTGGCAGTCGTGTCGGGCGGATCCATAACCAAAGACATTCAAAATTCGGATTTTCAAAATCTAGTCTCCGTTGACAGGGAATGTTTTTCAAAGAATAAACGCACACACCACCGCCCCGGCTACCTGTACGATCGTTACGGTGGATATTATAGCCACTGATTGATATCAAGCTATCATCAACATCCTTGTGTAGCCACGATTCTGTTATAGCCACTAGATCCATTGGGTTACCATCCAGAAGTACAGCAAGTTCGTCGATCTTAGGCAATAACGAGCGGGCATTTATTAGGCCAAAGCTTGGAAGTGCATGAGGTTTAGAACGACTAGTAGTTTCTATAAGATTATTGTGCCTCACAGATATTAAATTATTAATATTCCGCCCATTTCGTTTTGTTCTATGTCTACGGTTGCGGTATGAAATTCTCACTGATATTGCATTAAAGGATTCAGTATACGGTGCACCAAATCCAAGTGCTGTATCCAGTCTGTCCGTCGGCGTGCATAACTCGGCCGAAAACCCTGTTGACGATTTGCTCTAACCTTAGATGGAATACGATAGGTAATGCGTGTGGGGATAGCTTGGTTAATATCTTGTTTATGCAGATCCTTACATTGCACTCGAGGTGGATTATTATTGTTGTTGTGGCAGCCTTCTTCAGTCGGGCCGCCCTTGTTTAATAAGTTAAAACAGAAGTTCTGTCTTCTTTTAAATTCATTTGAATAAGTTGAATTAGTAACTGTTCTTGGGATTAAATTCGAAACAAAGGTATTAGTCGCAGATGACTGATTAATCTGTTTTTCACTGTGGTTTACAATTGCATGCTTCGACGGTTTTAATATTTGTACTGCACACGTACTATTCACGCTTGTATATGTTGACATGGGTACTAAACCCGTTGGGGAAAGATGTAATTCGTCAACAGTAATCTGATTCTGATTGTTTACGATTAAATCTTTTGTACTGGTCGATTTATCATAACAAAGAGTTTTTGGCCGTGGGAGATCTTTTTCCAGCAAATTAGAATATTCAAATAATGGGGCAGATTGAGACACATGTTGGTTATGTGGAAAATATAGTTCTTTCATATTATCAAGTTTATTACTAACTTCTTCGAAGTTGCCACTTACTTTATTAAGGCGGTCTTCGAGATTTCTAATAGTATGTCTGTTGGTTTCAATCTCTCTTTCACAAATCACGGTATCGAGTTTTATGCCTTCCATATCAGCAGACAGCCCAGATAATGTCAGGGAGGAATTTCCGCTTCCCTCGTCTGTAGCAACGGATTCCTTTGCCGGGATATGAGAATGTACATTGCATAACACTGAACATAACTTAGATTTAATCCGGTCCTTCTCTTTACCCTCTATTTGCAAGACTTTCTTGTTTTTCCGCCACGATATTGAAGTGTGGCCGTCACTGTATGTTTTCTTGTCTCCACCTGGTGAATTCCATACAGCATTTAATTCAATATTTTCGTTTATAAACTGCTTCAGTTGTTTAAAATCTCCCATCCAGCACAGCTGAAGGTCTCCCATTTGTTTGATAATAATTACAACAAGATAACGTGGGATTATATTACAAAATATTTGAAATGAGGAGCAACCAAATACACGTCCGTCACCAGAGACACGATTTAAGTGTCTATTAAATCACAACAATTGGCCCATCTTACTTGTCGTTGGGGAACACTTTGTGCTCATTTTGTGCGATGAGCATATGAGCACATGCTCATAACTGCTCATGAGCACATGTTTATCTGCTCATAAGGCCCGATGGCCCGAAGACAGGGTGAGTAGTATAACCCCCCGTATAGCGGTGCAAGTAATGAGTATGCTGGAGCGGATGTAGCGCCGGAAGTAATGAGTATGCTGGAGCGGATGGAGTGCCGGAAGTAATGAGTATGCGGAAAGCGCCGGAAGTAATGAGTATGCAGGAATGCAGAAATGACGTTATGTTTTTAATTTTCAATGTTTTTATTTTTTTGTTGGCTTTCAATTTCATGAAACAGGTTTGTTAGGGGGAGGTTAATTTAGAACAGAGAGAATGCCGTAGAGCGAATCTTCCTCCTGAGGTCGGTATTACATGTTATGAATCCAAGATTAGACCTGTTTTAGAATATGCAGCTCCGATATGGGGTGGTTTACCACAATATCTCATTGATGAAATAGAGAGCATTCAAAACAGATGCATCAAAATCCTCGGCACATCTCGGTGCAACTTTGAAACGCTAGAACAAAGAAGGGCACACCTAACTGTTAAGGAATACCAAACGTACCCGAGGTACGTATCTCTGACACGTACCTAGGATTAGCCTGCGTAGCAGGCGTTTAGTGCGGGCGGGAGAAGAAAGGGCGTCGTTAAATAAACGCCTGCCCAAATGCCTATGATTAATTTGTTCTTCGAAGAATCTTCGGAAAAGCCTCCCATTGGTTAATCTCGTTAACGGAAGTAATTACGTAACTCAAATGTCAACAATAATTTTGCTCGCGTTTATATTCGCGTATCAAAAATATGCCGCCTGTTAATGCTTTCGAGGAAACTTTCTTATATTTCGAGTATTTAGGCTTCGAAATTCAGTTGAACCAGAACAGAGAAAGTATATTATTAATTTGCTACGTGGCGAAAACGTCGGTTATCGCGATTCTTCCTAAGGAATACGGAAAAGTTTGATCTTTCAATTATACATTTTAAATATATCCTGAATATTTCTTTAATTAATATAGTTGTCTTGTTATTTGTTCACTTTAAAGTATAATTCAAGACCAGATAGTTGAGGCTATATCACTTGGCATTGCAGCTATGAGGTTGGATGATGATTTTAAGAATAACATTTCAAAACATGCTCAAATGTTATATTTGCTATACGGCAGAATACGTTAAACAACCGTGGTTCAGGAGTCTTTTAAAAGATAAAAGCTCTGTGCACGTTGTGACTGACTTGTCTAAAATAACTTCAAAAACTCATTAATAATTCATGAGGAAAACACAAAGAAAAATCATAAACGTGTCGTATCCTTGATATGTGATAGAGATTTCCCTTGATTTACATAAATGTTAATGATTTTCTCTACATATACACACCGAATTTTTTGAAAGCTACTTCGCCAATGAACGTATGGCTAGATCGATCGTTTTTGAAGCAATTTAAAACATTCGCAGTGCGTATTTTATCAGACCATCTTTATATCTAATAAAACACTCCTTTAAATAGTACATATTAAAAAATCTCTGCAAATCTCCGCAGTTGCCGAGCAAAAAGCATGCATGATGCTAAATATAAATCTCGACTATGATTGGATAATGGGTGAAGGGCTAATTACAAAACGTCAATCATCCTTAATGGGCGAAAACAAATTTGTCATAGCCAATTTGGGCAGGCGTTCCCTCAGTTCCCGCCCGTCAGCTAAACGCCTGCTACGCAGGCTAACCTAGGATATGTATCTAAACTATGTACGATAATATTTTTTTAAATAATAACTCGAAAAAACTATAAATATAGGGTTTATAAATATATTAATTAAATGAAATGAACTATTGCTCATTTGCTCATGAGCACATGCTCATAGTTGCTCATTTGCTCATGAGCACATGCTTAACTGCTCATACGTTCAAAAGGGTACGATGGAAAGTATGGCTTAATTCTACCACAAGCATTGTTAGATTTCCAGTGCAATTGATGCGATGAGCAGATAAGTATGTGCTCATGAGCAGTTATGAGCAGATGAGCATGGACTTATGAGCAGATGAGCAGTTATGAGCGGGTGCTCATAGTTGCTCATTGGCTCATGAGCACATGTTCATCTGCTCATATAAAAGTACAGTGGCGCTGAATAACAAGGCATTTTTACACAGATCTTGCTAGCGAAATGATCTGCAAATTCTGCAGAAAAACATTTAATCGAAGTTTCAATCTACGTCGATACGAAAATAAGTACTGTCCATTGAAGGATCAAGAGAGAGAAATGTCAGAAACAGAAAGTCAGGCAATGGACTCTGAAGGCGATTCTTCGACCGCTTGAACTCATGGTTCAGAAAGTCCGGTGACAACAGACAATGAGACGGAAACTGAGGATGAAGAAAACGATCCTTGGATGCCAATGGTAGAAGATGCAATGCAAAAGTATGAAACGGGTTTTGAGGAAATGAAGATGAATTCGATACACAGTGGTCTGGATGAACAATCCGCTGGAGAGAAAGCTTACTCCAATATTCTGCCTAAGCTCCAAAAAGAGCTAGAGAGTATCTATATGGATCGTCTTTCGTGGATGAACAACTAAAGAACGATCCAGTGCATAAGAAAATAATGCAAACAAAAGATGCCTTTGTGGACAATGATAATTTTGATCCCGAAGAAGCTATGCAAGCAGCTGTTGATAAGAGAAAATTTCCTGTCAAAAAACTTTTAAAGGATTATACTTTTACAGAGGAAAGCGATGATGGAGACCATTAAATATTTTGATGACTTTTTTCAGATAGTGATGACCAATGAATTTGTGTAATTCATATGAGAAATAAAAACGTATCAAAATTGTATTATGTCTTGTTTCATTGCAGTAGTAAGTAATAAGAAAAAAATTATTGAAACCACACCTTTTCTTGCGTTCGAGCCTTATGAGCAGATGAGCATGTGGTCATGAGCAGTTATAAGCAGGTACTCATCTGCTCATACGATCAAAAGGGTACGATAGAAGGTATGGCTCAATTCTACCACAATTTGAGTGCAATTGATTGGATGAGTAGATGAGCATGTGCTCAAGAACAAATGAGCACCCGCTCATAACTGCTCATAAGAATCAAGCATAAGAGACTAGTCGAAAATGTCCAGCGGAGGGCAACAAAGTTTATTCTTGACTATCCACAGGACCTAACGTATGCCGACAGATTCGCGAAGATCAAGATTCTCCCTCTTGAGTTCAGAAGAGATATCTCAGACTTATGCCTACTTTTTAAATCTAGAACTGGAGCAATTACTACTGATGTGAACAAATATATATGTACTTTTGAACCTGCAGGATACCAATCAAGAAATTATGATAAAAACAACTATAATCTTATAATTAAACACAAGCAGGACTATTTTAGAAATTCTTTTTTTATTAGAACGGTTGAACTATGGAACACTCTACCGTCTCTTCAAGTCTCATCTTCATAAGTTGTATTCTACTAAGTTATCGCATTACGTACCTCCGGGCACTGCGTGATCACCGTCTACACATTGCGATTTGTTGAACCATCATCCGGCCATTTTCATCATATTTACAAATATGTTATAAATTGACTCGTGATTTCCAAATTGATTTTTGAATAATTCATAATTGTAATCTGTATAGTGGATAAGTCGCAATGTGTAAACGTTCAGTACTTTTATAGTCACGATTCAAACCTTAGCTAGTATAAGTTGTTATAACTAATATGTTATAACCTGTTCTTTATCTTTATTTATATTTAACGTCTTTTTAGGGGTTAGGTGTAAATTGGGACGAGAGTCCTGTTCCTTTCCCCTGTCACGACTTGTATCTGTCTTTATTTGTCTTTAATTAGTTTGTATCATGTATAAAGTGACAAATTCATTATATTAAGCAATTATTGGATGAGGCTGAGCATGATATCAAGAATTATTCAGACCGAGGTCAATGTTATCTGCCGAAGCGAAGCTGAGGCGGATAACAAAGACCGAGGTCTGAATAATTCTTGATATCATGCGAAAGCCGAATCCAATAATTGTTTTATTATACATTTAAAGACATGAGAAACGTATAAAACGATTCCTGTTCATAAGGTAGGAAAAATACAATTTGAATATCAAACACCTTGCACAAAGTCAAAGGTCAGCTAAATATTCTATTTCTACTTCTATTTACCTCTTTGTGGCTTTTTTCGTGCTTTCACTATCCTTATCTGCCAATAATTTGGAGAGTTCACTTTCATTCAGCGAAGCAAATCTGCTGTCGGCCATTGTTTTTTTTTCCCGCGCTTATAGGTTCAAGCTTTTGGCCGCGCAAGGGCTTGGGCACAAGAGAGTCCAATAATTTTTTTTTTGGATGCAAGTTCGATCCAAAAAAACAATTATTGGACGCTGATGACGTCATCGGCGGAAAATACGTAATAAATGCCGCTTACTGAAAATTAGCCGGTGCTTTCTGACCAATTAGAAACGAGAATACATATTAAATGTATAATAATATATTATATTATATTAATATAAGCACATAACTGCTCATAAGCACAGAACAACAAAACAGACCTCTCAGAGTATCAAGCCATCTTGGGGTACCTCTACTATTGGAACAAAGAACACTAATTCAACACTACGTTATTTAAATATTACATTTGTTAAAATCACTTTCAATAAAATATTTTTCAAATATTTATCACTCATTACTTCCGGCGCTTTCCGCATACTAATTACTTCCGCCGCTCTATCCGCTCCTGCATACTCATTACTTCCGCCGCTCTATTCGGTATTGCATACTCATTACTTCCGTTGTTATACGGATTCCGGTATTGCATACTAATTACTTCCGCCGCTCTATTC